TACTGGAGACATGTAAAAAATATATTTATTATTGCTAAACAAACATTATATTGCAGTTTTAGTGTCGCCAACTCCGTTTCTAATATGCAAAAAGCGTGCAAAATGCGTCTTTTTACTATATTCGATCTTTCCAATCCAGGCGAGAGATCTCTCTCCCCCGCCTGCTTGCGAGGGGGCGGGGCAGTTTACACACACGCAGCTGCTACATGCAGCAACACACACACACGGAGGAGATGGCAGAGAGAATGCGCTCCGAGGTGTGGGTAAACTTTACCCGTCTCGATGCTCGTTACCAAAAGTGCAATAAGAGTTTAGCATGTCAGGGCGGTAACACGAGCTATTTGTCTAAACATTTATCAAAAGAGCTCCACATCCAGACGGAGGAATGCACCGGGTTCCACTGTCTTTCTAGCAGCTCTGTAGCCCCATCCACGAGTAACGTTTCCAAGTCAGGTGTTATGTATGCTAGCAGCAACACACAGAGTTAACTACATTATACAAACATGGGTTAATGATCAGAGGTAACTGAGTTATTTATTTTGTTAAAGTTTCAGCTATTCTGTTTACAGTTTTGTTATCAGATTATTTACGATTTGTTAAAACATTGTTTTAACAAATTGTTTCTTTTGATGTGAAATATTATATATATGTATTTCTGAATCAAGTATTCATCTTTATTGTCTTCATTGTTAGTTTCCACATTCCTAAAACAACCTCAAGCTAAATCTAAAAGTTGATGGCTAAATAAGAGCGTTTGAGAAATTGTGCAAGGCATACAGTAATAGTCCGAATAGTCCATTAATCGTTTCATTAATCGATAGATTAATCGATTATCAAATTAGTTGTTTGTTGCAGCCCTATTGTAGTTATCCCATGAAACATGTTATTCAGCAACCCTTGCAATTTGGGATTTTAGTTTTGGTTGGTAGACCTCGGTGAGCTGGTCATTTCAAAAAAGTGTGGGCACCCCAGCATTAGACCATAAAACCGCTGGGTGCCTTCAGGAGCTGTTTACCGTGTGTGATGGTGCGGCGGAGCTCCAGCAAGCTGCGGAAGGACAGCGAGGCCACGTGAGGTTTGCCCCAGCGGTCCGTCTCCTCCTCCACATCCTCCTCAAACTTGATCCAGCGGGCGCGCTCCTTCCAACGCATTTCATGGTCCTTCACGATCAGCTCGTTCAGCTCCACAAACAGCTGGAGACGGGGTAGAGCGAACATGTAAAAACTGTGAAAATGGCATCTTTCACTTTTAATATTCTACAGTCGAACTAGGTTTAAAAAGGTTAACACCTATACTAACTATTTTAGTTTAAAAAAACAGCAGCACAACCGTTTGGCTGCCCCTTTCTTGCATATTTGTTCAAATCAAAACAACATAAATTCAAAGACAGCTAATCCGATGATACAGCGGACACACAACATTATGGGGAGCAACCTAACTAAGCGGTTTGGATCCAGCCGAGAGTGGTTTGGACTCAGAGGATAACCAAATGCTTTGGAGAGACATTTATTCACATTCTATCATATAATTCATTTTTAACAAATTGTTTTCAGAGCAACACAATAAAACACTCGTTTGATTTGTGTGTTTGGGACCTTTTTTGCTGTCAAATTGAGGTTGAACACAAGTTCAGGTCTCATCAGGTCACTGTATGTGAATGTGAAACTGAGATTGCACTCCAGGAGACTTGGCCTTTATGAGACCTATCTATATGGAGTCATACTTAACAACAAGTTTGTATATACATGAATATCGACAATGGAAAGTGATTTTGTGATATGAAGGGCTGCATGTATTGATCACACTTTTTTTTTTTCCTCCAACAAAAGTATTTCAAACTATTTTGACATTTAGCTAATGTTTTGGTCTTTAAACAAAACACTATAGGCAAAACCATGTTTTTCAATGGTTCATTTGGGTTAGTGTGTGTGTGAAACGAAACACAAAGAGCATGTTCAAGTATCTTTAGGTAATGAAATAGGAATGTGCTAATATCTATATTTATTTATATAGAGGCTATATATATGTTGTGATACACACATAAATGATTATCATCCAACGCAGTGTTTCGAACAGTTTAACCTATTTCAGCTCATTGTTTTGGTTGTCTTCATTCAGACTAGTGGAAAGAAAACATTGAAATATACATTTCGGTGTTTTGTTTTCCTCTGACGATGTATGTTTATGTATTTCTCATCAATCCACCTAAATGTTGCATTAGATAATGCTTCATTTATATATTTAACCATGACATTTAATATAAATTTTAATAAAACAAATTGGCTTAGTGTATGTAATCAACTGGGAAAGTTACATGGTGATAACTATAAGTTAAATATTTGTACCTATTCACCTGTACAGTCTCCTCTTAATACTGCATTAAAGATGATTCGGATAACTGACCATTAATGGTTATATGTTGCGTGCATATCGAAGTGTTTCATGTAGCACGGGGGGGTCCTCAAACCTCATGTGTTTTCTTATCTGCTGCTCTCTTCTTCTTCAGGCTGCTCAGTGGCGTGGAGCCGCTGCTGTTTCGTGTCACCAGACATCGTGAGGACTTCTTCACCAGGTGGCGCCTCACCCCGGGGTTGTCCTCAAATCTGTGACCTGTACACACACAAAGTGTTCTCAAGTCAAAATGCAAATAAGTCAGCATGGCTAAGTCATGATGCGTCAATTTCATGAGGAGGAACTGCATTCTGTAGCCTGAAATGGCCTTTTTTGAGGGCAGTGAACCAAAGAAAAAACTTTTTCTCTATCAAAAAATGTGCTCTTTGCTGGAAAAACCTAAATCTAATTTGTCTGTTTACGTTTCCAGCGGACAGAAGGACATCCAATGACAGAAGGCAAAGCTCCATTGGTAAGAGAGAATCTATGTAGGACATGGGAAACTGAGCAGAACATTTTGCCCCTGGGTTATATAGGGTTACGTTTCGACATGGGTTTGGTGTATTTAAGGTCACGGTAAACATCTGGGGGACAGTTTAGAAATCAACATTTGCGTCCAGTTTGGAACAAAAATAAATGTATGTATTTTATTACTAAGAAAAACCCAATATCTAATGGTTTACATGAGCAGCTGTAGGTAACTGAAGTGGAGGTGAGAGAGTGTGTGTTTAAAAAACTGCAGTCAGTGTTCCATTCTCCTGCGTCATGCCTTCCTCAGGGAAAAAGAAATGGAAATCAAGATGAAGTTAGGCTGTATTTCAGCTTGTAGTGTCCCGAGGGAAAGCTCTGAAGGCTGTCCTTGTTTGACCTGCTGCAGCTGTGTCATGGTTTAGATTTTTGTTCTTTTATGTTTCCTGTTTCATTTTGTAAAAACATCGTCCCAGTGTCATGTCTCTTTGAACTTCCTTTCTCTCCTGGCCTAATTGGTTGCACCTGTTCCCCATCAGCCCTGCAACCACCTGACCTCCTGAACACCTTTTCTGTTTTGCCTGGTTATACCTTAAATTCAAATCTTTATGTTGAAAGTTCCTGTTGCCAGTACGGTCCACACCTGCTCTGTGTACTTAACTATGGGCTCAGAACAGTCTCATAATACACACATGCACACAGAAGGATTCAAACTTGTATTTCATGATCCGCAAAATGATTCACACTTGTATTTCCGGATCCACACTAGTGTTTTTCAATGCACAAACAAATGTGTTCCGTTTCATATACATGTAAATAAAATCCAAATACAGAAAAAAGTTTTACATATGTATATATGTATTGTATGTAACCCTCCTCACATATTTGTTTTCCGTTTAAAACCTCTGAACCTGCAAACACAAAGCTCTTTCTGTGCATGGATCGCTGTGCATTCGTGAGTGGGTTTTTTGAGACTCCCCTGACGGTCAGCCGATTCGTACTTGTAGTTGTTTCTATCTATAGCCAATCAGATGTCTCCTTAATTCTAAGCCAATCACATGAGCATGCCACCACGTAGATTTCTTGCATTCATGACATAGCGCTTCATGTACACATTTTGCGCTGTCTGGAGCTGACAGGTCCATGGAGCCTGCCTGCAGGCGCTAATCTCAGGACACCTCCACTCTCAGTAACAGGAAATGCACGCAAATACAACCTTTATATTATTAAGGTACAGCGCTACTTTCCGAACCATTGATGAATGCTTGTGTACACAAAAACGTCAGGTAAAACCGTTTTAAATGTGTGTTTCCTGTATGGCGAATACAGCTGCTTTATTGATGTCTGTATGAAGTTGTTGTGAGTGTGGAGGGAGCAGCTACAGGTTAGCTTAGCCTAATCGATCAGTGCACTACGAAGCCAGTGCTAGACAGTGAACTGTCAATGGGGGGGAGCCCCGCCTGTCCTTATCGGCCGATATTCACTCTTAATAGTTTGATCGGTGCTCTGGCCGATCAGGAGAGCTGGATCTGATCGATATGGACATAAACGCGAGTGAAGTATAACCGGACCCGAGAGAGAGATCAGATCAGCTGCTGAGTCTGGCGGAGACACGCAACTCTGCATGATCACCTGATGCTCCACCCTCTGTTGAGCGATCTGACCGGACAGCGCAAAATGCGTATATATTATGAAGCAAGCCCCCAAGAAGTGCGCCGGACTCTGATGAGAATATTCATTGTGGCCAAACAGCGGAACTACACTTCTGTTAGGTTGCTGGGCCCGGAAACACTTTTTCCCATTGACTTACATGGTGAAAGAGTGGTCTGTAAATAAAATAAACCACCATTTTTGAAAGTTTGTATAGCCCTTATTAAAAATATTCGGTCCTCAAGTTGTAAAATGTGCTAATAACGTTATTCTGAGAGTTATTTTCCTCTGCATATTATGAACACGCATCTAACCCACAGGACCGCGCTGCCCGGCACGTTCATGTTACGTGTTCTGACTGTAACAGTTTGGAGGATTTAGCAGCGTGGTAGCCACAGTTTTAGCGACATATATATCTATATATATATATATATGTATACACATGGTTGGTGTTTAACAAAAAGGGGTGTTATAGTCTGTGTTTTAGTGTGTGATATTGGTATTTATGGGAACATTTTACACCTTTCCTTCAAGTATTATATGTTTTTGGTACTTGTGGGGTACTTAACATGAATAGTCACAGTTACTATCCTTTTACTCCATCACATTTCAAAGAGAAATAGGCTATTGTTATTTTAACTCCACCACAGTAGTAATCCATCATCAGCTTTACTTTTTAGATAAGATTTAACTCACAATTGATCATAACAGGCTTCAAAATACATACATTTTTATATATTACCAAGTGGTTTCATGTACAACCCACACAAGTATCATGCTAAATTAAGCTCTGTTGCTTGGATATCACTAGATCCTGTTATCAGCGTAATATAAAAGTACATAACGATTGAAGTGTAACTTAGCATAATTACTAGCTAGCTGCTAACTTCCGCGGCCGCCTCGTTAATATCAAATCCATCATAACAAATCCAGTACCATGCTGTCATGAACGCGCGGTGCTGTTACGTGTACGCAAATTGACGTGCTTAATGTGAACGAGCCTTTTGGGGGGCATGGTTAAAGTTGCGCATGCTCTGAGCGCACATACGGGTACTTCTCAGGCATGACGGGTAATCTGTGACGTTTCGCTCTCTCAAAAGTTGGCCCATTTTATCTTCATTTGCCAATGAGCAGCTCTCATAGGAATGAATGAGGCCCCGCCTCCCATGCTGTATCCAGTTCTTATTATAAATCCATGCTCCAGACGCTACTGACCATGATACAGATGTTAGTGCAACATCTACAGCTCCTCTACCACAACCATCAGCAACAAGTGGACATGGAGAACTACATGAACTACATGTTGCTAAATCCACCGCGGAGAAGGGCAACCATGGCAACCATGCTCGGTGGGTCTTATTCGCTGCTTTTGGTGTATTTTGTGGCGTAAGTACAGCGCTACTTAAAGGCCCGGCATATGTACTACAACGTCTCCAGCGTTTTTGTGTGGACGGACATGTTTCTTGAGCCGATTCTGTGTGGACGGAAGACTTTTTTTGATATCGACTTCGGTTAATTTTTGTTTTCGTCTCCGTGTGGACGGGGCCTTAATCTATATGGCTTGTAGGAATCCAAGTGCATATTTAGCCATTGTTGATTGTTTTAATTATCATTTGTTTAAACCAAAATTAGTCAGTAACGGCAATTGTCAGCTGGATGTGATTTAAATGATTTGGTCCACCTGTGCTGTGCTGCTCTTGTCTGGAAAGAGAGAAATGGTGATCTGGTTCAGGTTCCTTTTGTTGACCGTACGGTTTGTTTTATTTTCTTTATTAAACATTGTGAAACTTTGCCTCAGGACGGACTGCTCATTGGGAACGAGTCATAACGATGGGCCAGGTGTTGCCTCTTAAGCGACATATTTTAATGGAAGTTTTGTCGCTACATGGCTGGTAAAAGAAGAAACCTAAAAGCTTAAAATCTACCTCTGTAGTAGTGTCATGCAATCTTATCCGTCAATAACAGTGTGTCTCTCTGTCTTCCTGTTTGTCTCTGCAGCTAAACGAGGAAGCCAGTATAACCAGGGTGGATGAGTACATCGAGCTCCTGTACGAAGGAATCCCAGAGAAGATCCGAGGCTCTGCGCTCATCCTGCAGCTCGCACGCAACCCCGACAACCTGGAGGAGCTGCTTAACAACGGTATGGTGTCTTTCAAACTACTGCTACTGATGTTTAAAGAGTACTTTAACAGCTGCAGATGTGGGACATTTTGCCCTCCTCAAGCCAATCAAAGGGTGTGTTCTTTATTTTTGATTTATTGCACATCAAAAAGGCACATGTCAAATTCAAGACAATACAGTTCACAACAACAGAAAAAAGCTAAAGAAATAACCAGATAAAAGTTAATTATAACTAAATTAAATCATCTGAGTGGTCAATCAGATAATTTGTACATCCATTTATTTCAGCATACAGTGGCATGAAACCTTGAACCTTTGAAATCCCTGGTTTTATGCATGAAAGTCACAATTATAGACTTTATAATGATATAACCCTAACCCACAATGTGCTTAACCTCTTAAGCACTGTTGGGACCCCCCAACATAATTTACAGTAATTTACAGTTTTTTTACTATGTTCAATCTGAATTTTCTTTAAAATAAAAAACATCTATATTGATTCTGACTTCTCTACATCCAACTCACAGGTTTATCATTACTTTGAAAGATGATAAATGTTTGAGATATTACTAATATCACACAAACATTTATCATCTTTCATTACTTTATTGAATATACCCATTAAACATTCACAGTGCTGGTGGAAAAAGTGAACCTTTGGATTTAATAACTGGTAAATCCTCCTCCTGCAGTCATAGCCTCAAACCAACACTTCGGAAGCTCCAGATCAGTTCTGCACATCGTTCAGTGTTGGACTGTTTTTTCTCACAGAACTGCTTCCGCTCAACCATATCCTCAGGAGGTCTGGTGTTAGCGGCTCTCTTGGGGTCACTCCACAGTTCTCTATTGACTGAAACACTCAATTCAAGAAGACATTCTGCAATCCTTTACTTTGATAGTTAGGGTCATTGTCCTTCTGCACCACGCAAATTCAGTTGATCTTCAGCTAGCAGACAGCCACTCTGGCATTATCCTGTAGGATATCTTAATGAATTCGGAAACAGTTTTTCCCCCTGATGATGGCAAGCTGTCCGGCCCACAGGCAGCACAGCCGCCCCAAATCATGATGCTCCCTCCGCCGTACTTTACCGATGGGATGATGTTTTGATATGCGGAGCCGTTTTCATGCCATACAGAGTGATGCGTGTTGTTCCCCTATAGTTAAACCTTGTTTTTATTCATTTACAAAAACATTTACGCAGTATAATTGTGTGGTGTTCAGGTTCTCTTTGGCAAACTTCAGGCACACAGTGGTGTGATTCTAAAGAGCAGCGGCTTCCTCTGTAATGTCCTGCCATGGACACCATACCTGATCAATGTTTTGCGTATAGTAGATTCATGAACTGAGAAGTAACCAGTTCCAATCATACCTACAATCCTTCAGCTGCTACTCTAAAGTACTTTTTTACCTCTTTGACTATTCTGCATGTCTTTGGATTAATCTTTGCTGGGCGCCTGTTTCTTGGGAGCGCAGCCACAGTACTAAATTGTCTCCATTTATAGAAAGTGTGAACCGATGAATATCTTAACTCGCGCGAAAAAAATCCTGTATAATCATTTTGCACAAACATGGCACTGTTTGTCAGAGCACTTCATCCTTCTGGGTTTCATGAAGAACAGCTCCAACGCCTGTGTGTATGGGAACGCCTCTGGTGCTGGTCCATTAACTGCCAGTGTTTCCCACAGATCTGAAATATACTTGGGGGGATGGTGGTAGCGGGGGTGGGCGGTTTGAGGTGACGTGCAACAACAGTAACCTTTCTGTTGGTCGCTTGTTAGCAGACTCTTCACGCGATGGCAGAACGAACAGGTAGAGGCAGGGCCCATAATGATAGCCCTATAGTTTAATAGTTTAAATCTACTACCCACACATAAACATATGGAAATGGGTTACTATTTAAAAAAATAAATGTATTTATAAATGTATTTATAAATGTATTTAGGAACCTATCCATCTGATTTTAAGTGGGGGTCGACCTCAAATCCTCTAGGGGGGTCCGGGGGCGTTTTCAAAGTATGAGCGCGCCTCCCCTGGGGGCGCCAGAGACGCTCAGGGGAGCACAGCCTGAGACACAAAAGAACGAGAAAAAGGACGATGTGAAGTGACACGTTGCCCACTGTGCTGGTCGTGGAGACCGAGTCCCCCACCTCGCCAAACAAGTCTGTAAAAAGTGCTCATTCCCTTCACCTCCACTCTACCTGTGTGAGTGCCAGGTTTTCCGCATGACTTTGATCAAAAGCAAGTACCGTAAAAGCTGCAGCCAGAGTATGATCTGCGTTTATTCCGTGTGCATCAAAGACGCAGACTCATTTTCCACTAAACGTAGGGGTGTAGTGTAATAAGGAGGCAAAGTTGACGTTCAGTTGTTGCCGGGAGCATATAAAGGATTTATCCACCATGTGAAAATGTTAATATATTATTTGTAGTTGTCTGAGTTTTTATATCTATCGTGCGTGCAGATATTTTATACGGGTCGTGCTGAGCTAGATGTGTTTTTTCTTTCCTCTGTAAGTATATTTTTTTTTTTTTTTTTTTTTGGTGTCGGCGACTTGACATGCCAAGGAAGAACTGCTGTCCCACAGGCTGTCAACTTTAACAACTGTATTATTCCAGGGTAGTGAATTGAACATGCAATCTGAATTGGGTGTGTGGGTAGTATTTCAGCTCACGACACGCAATGTTCCACAACACATAAAACTGCAACAGACACTAAATTTTCGCATCGCTACCAGCTACCTTGCGATTGTTATAATACAAGTGCACGTTACTGATGCAATATGGTTGAGGACCATTCAGGCTTAATTCTAGAGGGGTCAAAGAATAGTCCAATAGTGGTGTGATTTTATACAATAGTGTTAAACATTAAAATAAAGTTTTAAAAAAGTTATGTTGTTTAAGTTTTTCAAGGATAGTACCCGCTAATCAGCGCAATCAAATCGGTGCAGCTCAGCACAATCAGATTCAAAACACACCACACACAAAGTCACGGCGACTAAGATCGAAAGAATACAGTCGGAGTCTAGTAATTTTAAATGCGTCTGAGGTAGACAGCAAACAGGAGCATGTTTAATTAACATTTCTCGTATTACTGGGCTCTTGAAATGCAATTGAATCACCCCGCATTAGGCAACAACAATAATAATAAAACTGGCGGTTCGCACTTGTGCGCGCAGTGATGAGCGAAGTCCTCGAGCTCCGCGTGCAGCCTGTCGGGCTTTAAAATATAAGGGGCTGGCCTGGGAGCGCTCTGGCGAATCATGCAGACAAACACTTTCTGCGAGTACATCGGAAAAAAAATGAGCACGTTTGTCATCCTCTAAAATTCGTCGTCCCCAGAACTCCCATGTCATCCTGCAGCAACCCGCACAACAGAAGAGAGTCGGCGCAGCCGTCTAGAAGAAAACTAAATTTAAATCTGAGAAGGCTC